CTGAGTATACCACGAAAGTGTTATAGCACAGGATGGTGCGACTAGGGTTACCATCCATCCGGATTTCTCCGGACATGTCCGGACTTTTTGCCTTTTGTCTGGACTTTGTCCGGATTTTTAATTAGATGGAATATGAGTAAAACTACTTATTAAGTTATCTCAAATAAGTCAAATAATCTCTTATCTATTAGACAAGTCCGTCCGTCTGTCTGTCTGTGGTGCTGTTTCAGCGGCCAAACCGTAAGAGATAGATAAAGAGAACATTTAAGTTATAAGTTAAGAATAGTCTGATAACACTACAATCCGGATTTGAGTAACGTAGCACTTCCGGTTTTCGAGAAATCACGAATTTCAAACGAAACCACACAAAATCTCCGAAGTTCTCAATTAATTAAATACATCAGGTTTTGGTGAACGTTTGGTTCACTGGTTTGCTAGTCTTAATTAAGTTCTCATTAATTTATTTCAAAATATAAATTTATCTTTAAAAATCAACAACGAGACCCCCCTCGCGATGCGAGCGTCTGCTACCACGCGTAAAATATCAATGTAACTAAGTGGATCATGTTTTGTGACTAAAATGCCCGGACTTTTATCGAAATGTCCGGCTTTTTGTCAGGACTTTTGAATTTTTTAAATAGTAACCCTAGGTAAGACCTAGATTGTAAAACAGAACCATCAAGTATGAATTTCTCTTATGCTCCATGAATAATTACTCATTCATGCATATAAGTAGGTCAAACAAAAAAATATACAGCACAATTGTCATAGCGAATGTATAATATGCTTTATTTCAGCACAGGTGTAAAAATAAACTGAGTGTGTATGCATTGTCGTGTGTATTTACAGAAAAATATTGAAGGTTACGCGAGCCTGCATGCACACTACAGAAAGCGAAGCTTCTCACTGCTAGAGTAATAATTAAAAAGCGGCCAAGTGCGAGTCGGACACGCCCATGAAGGGTTCCGTAACAACAAGTAACATAATATAAAAGTTCTTGTAGTTCCTTGTAACTTTGGTCGATGTTTTAATAATAATGTATTTTTATTAAACTGATTTGTTTTATGACGTATTAAAAAAACTACTTTATAGATCTCGTTTAAACCTGATTTTCGGTGGAAGTTTGCGTGGTAATATGTACATTATATATATTTTTTAGTTTTATCATTCTCTTATTTTAGAAGTTACATCGGGGGAAGTGTCTCTCGGGCAAACTATTCAGTTAAGAATTGTTTTAGAAACCTCAATAGCATTTTTGAAAACCTATTCATAGATGACGTATGAGTTTGATGAAAAAAAAATGTTTTTGAGTTTCAGTTCTAAGTATGGGGAACCCCCAAAATTTATTGGTTTTTTTTTCATTACTTGTGTGAAAATCTGAATGCGGTTCACAGAATACATCCACTTACCAAGTTTCAACAGTATAGTTCTTATAGTTTCGGAAAAAAGTGGCTGTGATATACGGAGGGTGTCCACTTAAAAAAAATTAATGCAGAGGAGGACCTCGAACGTCGACCTTCAAAGAAATAAAGCACCAAATCAACTGATAAGACAAATATTGTTACCTAATTTAAGTCAGGGTCCATAGATTTTCGAATCAAGATAGTGTTATCTTATATGACTTTATTAATACTTGTATTAATAAATATTCTTTTATTTAATCAACATTTTATAAGTCAATCACATTTCATACATGATTTCTACATTTACTACACAATGTTGACTGAAGTTTTAACTTGATAGCTTATAAGATATAAGATATCAACAGTTCGACATTTTTAGTCTTAGTTTTAGTCTTAGCTTTGTTAAGTTTAAAAAATCTATATCGTCTTGTTTTAATTTAATTGTTATTAGGCCCATTATCATCAATCAATGTTTGTTACATTTTGTTTTCATATTGTTGATATTGTTTTTAATGACATACCTACATAAGTAATAAGAGACTCATCTAAATTTCAAATATTATTTAAAATTTCAAATATCTATACAAAATCTTGTTTATCCGTATTACAGTTATGAGATTTAATTAAAAATCTACTCAATGTAAAGTTTTATTACGTCGTGGAAACTGATTTGGCTTATGTATAAATCAAATATTTTATACTCAAAAAAAAATCTTCTTGAAATTATAAGCTATCATCATCTTTGTTTGCCAAAGTAAGACACCCACCAAGTGTGGGAGGGACCCACTGTATGCAGAAAGCACAGAAATCCCTTGAGGTAGCCTATGTCCGGCAGTGGCCGTCCATCACATTTCTGATGAAGATTTTTAGGGTTCCGTAGTCCTGACAAAGTACCCTTATACTTTCGACATGTCCGTCTGTTTGTCCGCGCCCGGTTTTGCTTGGAGACTGTTATCACTTGACCGCATTTTGTGGAGATATGGCTGTCTTAATTCTACCGCACATGGAAGCTGTATATCAATCATGCCGACAAAATGCTAGTTTTTGTTTTTAATAAATGTTATAGATATATTGAACTTCAAAGTGCCAATTTTAGTTTGTGTAGGGCGCCCCTCCCTAAAGCTAAACTATTGGCTTGAAAAAACTGGAAAAAATCATGATTATTATTGTGCTTTTCTTGAACTTTAAAGGAAAATTATTACTGTTACAACAGTTTTGTTAGTTCAAGAGTAATAGTCGTTCAATTAACGTTCTAGAAAATTTCTGACCTAATAAAAATTCCTTAGAAGAAAACATTAAAAGTGACAGACGAAGTAATTGCTTAAAATATAGACTATTTCCAAAATATATTGTGGTGACGACGAGCAACTGCGGAACCCTACACTGCGCATGGCACGACGCGCACTTGGCCGTTTTTTCAATTCTAATTAATACATAGTGCGTAATTATTATCGTGACGTGTGATTTTGATAGGACGGCAAATAGTAAAACTTCGTCAGATTTAGCATTAGTGGGTTTGGATTTAAAATTGCTATTCGTAAACGTGAGGAAATCGATGGCGCAGGTTGTTAGCGCGTTCGGCTGCGATCGTTGAAGTTAAGCAACTTTCGCAGTAGTCGGTCATTGGATCGGTGGCCAAAAATCTTCTATCTCGAGCTCCTCCGTGCTTCGGAAGGCACGGTAAGCCGTTGGTCCCGGCTGTATCTGTAGTCGTTAGCACCCGCCAATCCATACTGGGCCCGCGTGGTGAATCATGGCCCAATCTCCCTATTCTATCCATATGGAAGGCCTCTGCCCCAGCAGTGGGGACATTAATAGGCTTATGATGTTTCGTAAACGTAAACAATAGTGATAGATTACGATAGAATAGGTTTCGAAATATTTCTTTAATTTAGGTTTTCTTTTACGATCTTCTTTACGGGACATTATACAACTGGCGCAATCTGTATTGCATTTCATACTATCAGTGCAAGTGCACCTGAGCCCTAAGTAATCTGCTATTTTGCAGTGTGGGTTGGCGTACGAGAGGTATAAAATAGGAAAAAAACATATTCGAACGCGTCAGACATTGAGAAGAGATGTTACATGAACTCTCCAATATCTCCTATTCAGAATTCTCCTATTAAGACTGACGGTTTTGACGCACGCACGCCAATGGATGATTTTTTTTTGCTGCCCTAGACGTTAGATCTTATATAAAAGCCTCAGGTATGGTAGGAGTATCTCACATGGTTCAAGGTTCCCCCCTAATGTTATTCTGCCACGCTCGAGTAAACCCCAAAATCCAAAAAATGCCCGCTTGGGCTCCGCTACTGTTTTGTTACTGGTTTTGATTTTGACATGACTGTGTCGTTTTCGCTAGACGCAATTATTCCTGCTTGAAACTGCGCAAGAATACCAGTAATGTCAATGTGTGCATGACAAGTCGGTGTCTGTCCCGACTCTCTGTATGGACGCGATTATGTACTATATCTTGTGGAAACAAGCTGTTATAACAATATATTTCTCGGATGCAATTGAAGATATTTTTGGTATGACACTTTCTAGGTCGATAATAAATCGAGCTGAAAAATAGCAACATGCAGTCATGTTTTTTTCATAGAGCAGCGTTGCGTAGGCGGGTCGCCCGTCGCAGTGCTGTTCAATGAAATGACATGAACCTGCACGCGGAGGTGGACGTCAGCTTCATGCTCCTGCTTGGCAGTTCACGAGAAAAATTGACTTTTTTGCGCAATTAATTCTTTGCAAACTTCTTGCAAAGCACTTATTTTAGTATAACGGTTTTTATAAAATACATACGATAAATTGCATATTGCCGCACTGCAGCACTGCAGTAATACCAATATTAATTTTTGCTTTGAGTGTACGTACGCTCGTATGGTCGGTCGTTCCGTTAGTGAAACACTGAACGCATCCATACAATCTCATAGCTCGTCGGTCGACCGACGTACGCGCGACCAGCGTAGCTGTGTGCGCATTCATAGGGTGCGGCCAGAGTGCACTCAGATTCAGATTCAGATTCTGAAAACAAGCGCGAGAAATAAACAGTGTAGTCTTAGCAGGTTGCCTGCTTTTTCTCGCACTTTGTTTTCTGAGTCTGAATCTGAATCAGGAGTGCACTCTAGCCGTACCCTTCGGGTGCGGCCAGAGTGCACTCAGATTCAGACTCAGATTCAGATTTCGAAAACAAGCGCGAGAAATAAACAGTGTAGTCTAAGCAAGTTGCTTGCTTTTTCTCGCGCTTTGTTTTCTGAGTCTGAATCTAAATCTGAATCAGGAGTGCAATCTGGCCGTAACCTTCGACTACACTGTTTATTTCTCGCGCTTGTTTTCAGAATCTGAATCTGACTCTGAATCTGAGTGCACTCTGGCCGCACCCTTCGACTACACTGTTTATTTCTCGCGCTTGTTTTCGGAATCTGAATCTGAATCTGAGTGCACTCTGGCCGCACCCATAGACTTGCATAGATATAGCTACGCCGACCGACCGACAGCCAGCGCTGACCGTCGGTCGGCGTAGCACTGTTTCCAGCCTAAAAGTTCCTTAAACAGCAGGGTTATCTGTCAAAAAAATCATGATAATATTATAATACACACCTTGAGCCTTCGCACCAATTCATCTGGACCGAGGTCATCGGTAATTGGTCGGCAGCCTTGCGGGTACACTATTTCCGCCATGCTGCCAATCTGGAACAAAGATGGAAACCCTTTAGCAGAAGAAGAATCTCGAGATACTTATGCTGTTTTACCAGAGTACTACTGCTCCCTTTCAATGTTCTTACTTCGAAAAAAAAATCTTATTCCTCCTATTGAAGGCCCAAAAATTTACTATGTGATGTAGTAGAAAAATAATCTAAATCAGTGTTCATAAACTTTTGGGAGCAACAGGAACTTTCAGGATTTAAAAAAAAACTATTACATATATGATTTAAAAAAAACTATTACATATATGTATGAATAATTTTGGAAAAGTAGCATAGCCTAATGTTAAAAAAAAGGTTTTATTGGTACTTTCATTACACTTACTAATTCTTAATTAAATGTTAAAAGTTATGTATTGTTTAACTGTGCTACTGTGACTCCTGATGCAAATGCTACAGACTGCTAAAGGGTCCGTGAAACCCATTTTAAAAATCGCTTGGAATCCGAAGCTTCAGGAAGCTCCTTAGTGTAATTGTTAAGTGTAGAAGGGACATTGTTAGTAAACATATACACAGAAATTACAGAACCCTCTATGCTCCACGCTCATATCGCTTTTAGGGTAGACATATTTATAATTAGATCAGTAAGTGTATTTATTACAATCATACACCTCAACAAATATGAAGTTTAAAAAAAAGAACACTATGTTTTTACTTGCACTAGATTACAAAAAACTTAAGGATTTGGTTGCCACACGGCCCTATATGGCGGCCCATAAATAATACTTATGATTATATATACAATACATATACACTACGCCCCACACACACTTTTATTATACTAATGTACTGTTATATTGAATAATATAAGAAAATATGGTACTTCTGTTACTGCAACTAAAATTATACATGGGCGCTGAAACCATGATACAGAATGAACTTCCTAGTTTGGCTGAGAATGTCTATACTATATACTGTACTATGTGTGAAATAATGGCCTTATTTTAAACATATTACCATGTACAATTTTTACAAATAAATATTATTATTTGGTAAAGTGAATTTTATGCATTTATTTTTATTAGCATTTAGTTTAAAATAATTTACAGTGCAATGCTAAAAAAAGTTTTTTGAGTTTAGTAGAAATCTAGCATGAAAAGTCAATTATATTTTAAGCTGAAGCATAAAACAAGTGATTAGTGTTAATGCAGCTATAACAGAGGTGAGGGAGATCAGGGACTTACGTAAAATAAATAAAATCCACAAAAACTTAGGTAAACAAATGTATAGAGGAACGTATTTACATTGCGAGACATTGACAAGAAGTCAAACAAAAGTAAAACAATCTATACATATTATAAAATGGTAGGGACGTCAAAACTGTACATCAATTATTTTTTTACAAGAATACTTGGAGTGTGATCTACAATCGATACCGAAGCCAAAAATATAGTTTTTATAATTTTTGTCTGTTTGTCTGTATGTATGTCACGGATAAACTCAAAAAGTACTGCATGGATTTATTTCAAATTTGGCATGAATATTATTAAGAAATCGGGTCAACATATAGGCTACATATTATCACACTATCACCTGCGGGGAACGAGCAGTGAACCTTTATTTCTAACTAACTCCACACACACGAAGTTGCAACATACAAAGAGATTGGTTTGCCACAGCAGCATTATTTAGAGAAAAAGAACACTGCCACACACAGACCTTTTACATCAACAGCAAAATCTGTGATAAGAATACAAAAACTGAAAAATGACATCAAGTAAATCATTTCTATGGAGGGAGAGGATGTCAATGAATATATTTGTTTCTACTAGCTAGATGTAACTATCATGATTTCCTATGTAAAGAAGATAGTGTTTTCTTGTTTGACTATTGGTTGTGTGGTATGCAGGAAATCCGATAGATAGTTTAGTCCAAGATCCCAGGCCTGCTCAGCTTTACTTATTTTCTGATGGACAAAATAGGGATAATCAAGCAGTTTTGTTGTGTACAATGAACATAAACATACTGGCTAAGTAACTTGTGATGCCAATTCTCATTAAAGTGTCATAAATAATTTAGTGCGAATGTATGAATAATTTGTTTGTTTTAATACTGCAACTTCAGCTCATAAGAATTCTTTATAGCATTGAGCACTAATCATCATCATAATGGAAAAGGATTAGCACAATACCTCTTGAGGTGATAGAATGATGATTTGTTTCCTTTAAGATATATATGCTTACACAAGATATACAGAAAAACTAGTTACGCAGAGTTTTGTCCCTATTAGTCAAATAAAAAAATAAATATTATTATTTAGTTATATATGTACTGTATATATATGTATTCTATCTGTTACCCTAGTATCCCATAACACAAGCCTTACAGTGCTTACTTTGGGGCTAGGCTAATTGGTGTGAATGTTGGAAATATTTATTATTATTTAAGTGACATGAGCAAAGTAATGGATAACTAGTTCAAAAATTTATTCAAAAGAGGGTCTTTACTGATTGCAAACAATGCTCCATTAAATAAAACTAGTTTTAACAGTTAATGCACGAACTTTATTTATTTATTGACATTTTGCAGCATAAAAAAATCACTATTATATGAAACATCAATAAATAAATAAAGTTCGTGCATTAACCCATTAAAACTAGTTTTATTTAATGAGTGATGTGCGTGAAAACCTAAGAAACAAATAATGCTCCATTCTTTAATATAAAATACTAGTGGGTGCAACTTTGTCTGCATGGTTTAATTGATTTCCTGTACAAAATTTCATCCCCGTTTTCACCCCCTTCAAAGATGAATTCTGGGATAAAAACGTCCTATGTTCTTTTCTGGAATTCAAATTATATCTTTACCAAATTTTATGTAAATCCGTTCAGCGGTTTAAGTGTAAAGAGGTTACGAACAGACACACACTTTCACATTTCTAATATTTGTATGGCTTTGTCATCAGTTATCTGTACCTAGGTTATACTAATTAAGGTCAATTAGTACTAGGAAAAAATACAGTAATGGTATAATCAAACATTAAAATACTTTTGTCATTATCAAATCAGTGATTACTTAATTAGATGCTTAGAATTTGGTATATTGTAAATTTGTTTGACACATTGACACTTGCTTTAACTTTAAAACAGTTTCTCAGCGACAAATTTGGAGAAAGCGCCCTCAGAGCAATAAAAGAAAGAAGTTTTATTTACCATTTTTTTCATATTTAATGACCTTTCTTAAGATGATGTCTTTCAGTTAGTAACTTGATAAAAAACTTATTTCACTATATCAAGGAAATATAATAAAAGGCTCTTTAAATTACCTATAATCCTTTAACTATTTTCTGTTTCTATCAGTTGCTACCATAAGTCTCTGTCAAAATTACACTTTTAAATATATATTTAACCATTATGCATATAATAAGCTAAATGTGCTCTAATATCTTATAATGAACTTCTAATGATATACCTATGCCTTGAATCTGACCCTCAATCTCAGATTTAGGAGTGACTGAAGTCACTTCAGGACTTAGTGTACAATAAAACTATAGGTTTTTTGTAATATTTTTATAAAAACAAATTTACTAACATTTTATTTCAAAAATTATGCATGACATCATACTCAAATGGAACAGTTTGTAGAATGCAGACATACTTGGTTGATTTATATAATTTAATTTTTTAAAGAAATAATCTTTGATATATGTTCATTCATTGAATTAATAGGGAAATATCTTTCAGGTTCGAGAGAAGGCACCTGTTTATTGATTGCCAACTAACCTCATTGATGTATTACTATAATATGTTGTCAAACATTGCCACTGACTTTTATTTGCAGTTTTACTGCTGAGAATGAACACAAAACATACACGATTATTATGACAAACACTTCAATAATCGAATTGGTGAAAACACGATTGTGATGGATGTAAACCATAGCAGATGCATTACTTTATGTACGCAAACGAAACTGCAGTCGTCAATCACAATGACCACAATCCGATTACGGGTCTCCTCGTTTTACTTGTAATACAAGCATCCACTTTCGAGGTTAATTTTACAGCTTTTTCACAAATTAACTTTAGTAAAGTATGAATTTATTATAGAATTATGATAAATTACAACGCTTATGCCGATAATGGCTAGTATACGTACAAGAAGTCATAGACGTGGGCCTATGTTGCTCGCCCGATGTTTACAAAAATCACCACGGCACACAGTAACAAACGAAACAATCACAATAATAACATAATCGTCTCATTAACACACCACTAAAATATAAGTCATGTGATTATAGAAAAGTCCTGTTGATCTAAATACATAGAAATTTCTTGTAATAATTTTTCTCTCTTGTGGACGCCAAACTGCGGGAAAAACTACAGCGAAGTTAGCAGCGTTTGACAATGCAATTCAAGGTCATACAAGATGTCTATGGTATTTGTTATCTGCTGGCAATCTATGAAGTTTATGGTAATTTTCTTGTCTATGCCTAACAATCCAAGCTCAAGTCAAGAGCGTAGACTGGGTGTATTCCGAAATATATATCAGTATACTGGCCTGTGGTAATGACGTCACGAATCCGACGTCATATATGCTACCATATTTTTACAGGGAAAATTAATGTGACGTATGACCGAGCGTGCCTGAGATGCATTCGAATTTTATTTCTTTTTTTATTTAAAGAACAATAATGGCATCCGAACAAAAAGAATTCCTTTTAATTGATGAGGTTAATAAAAATTCTTCTTTATCCACACTATTTTTAATAATTCGTTGATTTATGGCGTCAGTGCACTGGCCACTATATTTAGGAACAATTCACCAGAATAGCGTCGTCATTAGCACTGGCCAGTATACTGGTATTTATTAAGGAATACACCCAGAGTCTCAAGAGCTTCCAAGTTCCAAGCACGTTCCAAGCTTATTTATGAACTTAAAACTAAATTTAACACCAGTCTGTCCTTTTCATTCTGTATAAAGAATGACAAGGATACACTGGTGTCGATTCTGGCGTGATTCTCTAAACTTAAAATTAAAACTAAATTTAACATCAGTCTCTCCTTTTCATTCTGTATAGAGAATGACAATCATACATTGCTGTCATATTTAAGTTAAGATTTAGAAAATCATGCCAGAATCGATACCATCACCATTTTTAACCTATATAAACACTGACTATTTGACAGAATCTTTAAAGGATTAAATTAAATTGAGTTAATTTATTTGTATTTTTATTATTATCATAAAGAGCTTGTATATACCAATACTCAAAGCGTTTATCATACTAATCAGAGATGTTCGTTCTCTCCAGTCGACCCTCCTTTTCGCTGATAATACGACTCGTCCATGATACTCCGAGGTTTAGGGCCACGACAGACGTATGAGGGCTCAAAAGACGCGGAATTTAAAGGGCTATAAGAAGACGTAAACATTGTTTTGGAAAAGTCAAAAACTTTTTTTGGAAATCAATCTACTTTTTTCCATCGAAAAATCGTGTGTTTTCAAAGAAAATTTTCGATATCTCGAGAACGGGGCCGAATTTAAAAATATGAACCAAAGCATTGAGCTTCGTATTGAACCAAGGAACATTTTAGGTCATTACACTTTTTTCGTTATTGGTGACGGTTGAGGCTGTAGAGGTGCCCTTAGCCGCGAGTTTTGCGCGGCGCGAGGTGCGATATCACGCGGTGCGCGACTCGCGTGCGAACTTTTTGAAGGGCTTTATGATGATGTAAAAATATTTAGGAAAAGTTGGTTTTGAAAAAAAAAGTATTGGTTGTGACAAAAAATAAATAAATTTTATGTTTTTTTTTTGAATAACAGGTAGATTAATTTTCAATGATCTTTCAAGTCGTATATATAATTTATAAACAATTTTTTTGTAAGTTTCTTTTAAAAATAATATATGCAATTGTTGTGATTTTGTCAAGTTCGCTGGTTTAATTTCATTTTCATTTAAAATTACCCATTATTTCAATTATTACCCTTGGTTTCATTCAGTTTTACAGTCCATCGCTAATTAATAACGCTAATTAATTTTCTGTTCACTACTACCTGTCAAGCAGGCATAAACAGGTAACTTGTTATAGGTGAATGCACCGATCTGCTTCACAACATAGTATAAAGCAAAGTTGCTTCACGCTGTCTGTCCCTATGCATGCTTAGATCTTTAAAACTACGCAACGGATTTTGATACGGTTTTTTTAAAGATAGAGTGATTCAAGAGGCAGGTTTATATGTATAATACATGTATAATATAGTAGAGAAACACTGATAAAAGACGCTCGTAAATAAACACATTTTTTGCACTTACATTGCAAACACTAGCTGAACCCTACGAGATAGATCAAAATAATGTACTACAGTTTTGTACACCTTAAAAAGGTCGACAAAAAAGACCACAGTGGTATATGTCTATCTCTTAGGCAGTGGCGGCGCTAGACCACATGCGGACGTCGGCGACATCAAGTCCGCGAGGCCTATTTTAATTCGCAGTAAAAAACCGTTAAATTAAGTGAGCCAAATTATAAAATAACGTATGAGTAAAGGAGTTTTGTTGTTTATAATCAAATGATGACAAGAAATAATAACAAACATAGAAAGTTAATTACAAAAATAGTGTTGCCAGACAGGCGATTCTGAATACCCGTAAAGTACTACTCGCTTCCATCACGCACGTGTTCGAAAATAATAAAAGTCATTATCATCTGCTTAGCTTTTTATACGAATTGTTCGGGGTCGGCTACCTAAGCCAGGCCAGAGAAACGAAAATAAATAGGTAACTTGTAAAAATTTTTTGCGAGGCCCCCTTAGGCGCGAGGCCGTCGGCGGTGGCCGACGTCGCCGACGCCTAGCACCGCCACTGGTAACAAACATACACACTCAGAAACTTTCGCCTTTATAATATTAAGTATGATAAATATTCACAATCAGCTTTTATCTATTTCTAAAAGTTACTTTAATTCCATTATTTGGTGCTAAAATTCAGTCGATAAAATCTATCGAAAATGTTAAATGTACGACGCAAGACACCACTAAAGTAGATGCAATGACCTTGTACTGCGTGCGGCCACGTGCAGCGCTCTGTGATCCACGCGTCATTCTTGCTCTTTTTTATAAGTATATTGTAATATTGTGCTACGATAAAGTGTTTCAAAAGCAACAATGGTATCGGTTCTCAAACCTAAACTTAAATTTGACAACAGTGCATCCTTGTCATTCTCTATACAGAATGAAAAAGAGAGACTGATGTTAAATTTAGTTTTAAGTTTAGAGAATCAATCCAGAATCGACAGGAATGTACTTTAATGGTCTCATACTCGATAAGATTACTAAAATTGGAGACATTTTAGATTCCATCAGCCCCCGTTCATTTCCAGCATCAGGTCTTTGTCATCAGGAGAAGTGAACAAAACTTGATGGGTTTGCTAACAATAAATCCAGGGCTTCGTCTCCTGCCTTCGAGCTCCACGTCATATTTATTACACTCTTTCTAATTCGTTGTTATAACCCTCGTTTTATTTGTATATAATTATCATATTTTATAATAATATTAACAAAGTAATTGTATTTTTTAAATAAATTTTACCTAGTTAATGAGCTGCAATTATAATTTATTCATTAAGACCGTTCACACTACATCTGCTGTGAGTTGCTGAGGCGTGGACTTTCCTCAGACTACTTGATGCTGCATCATCACCTAAACGTGAACATGTCTCTAAAATACTACCAAGGTTTTTACCTTAAGGTTTCAAATCGATAGTAACGCCAGTGAACGTTGGCTGTTTCCTTAAATATGTACTCAAATAGGAAATGAGCTGATAATCCCCAAACCCCTGATCAAATCTTCATAACTTATAGCTAAGACCATCCCGATCGTGTCAGCTTTCAAACAAAATAACACGGTTGAAAACGGACATGTTAAACTTATAACTTATAAACGCGAGCATTTGTACTCCAGTCATGGATGTTTAATATGTATTTCTATAAAAATATACTTATATATGTACAGTATATGTATACTTCCGTTACCCTAGTATCCCATAACACAAGCCTTATAGTACTTACTTTGGGGCTAGGCTAATTGGTGTGAGTGTTGGAAATACATTATATTATATATAATATTATATAACACCCCTGTTTCCTTTTGAGGTACGGAACCGTAAAAATTTAAAGAAAGAAGAAGTGAACAGTTTTTGTTCAGAAAGCGTTGCTGTAGCATTTGCTCCTTTTACTACTAGCTATATCCGCCACTGGAATAGTACAAACCATGCTACAAACAACGCTTCGATCGTCATTAATTCATTGAGACCATTGTTATGAGCCCAAACACTCTACATCTGCTGTAAGTAGCTGAGGAGTTGCGTCCTTGATGCTGCGCCATCACATAAAGGTTACCAGGTCTTGAATATCTACCAAAGTAAAAGTGCACCAAATTCTAAATCAATAGCAACTGTGAAATTAATTCTTACTAAATTTCCCTTTTCTTAAATGAAAAAGGAACTGATGATCTTCAATCTCCTGAACAGCATCTTCATAAATTATAACTAAGAACCATCTCGATCATGTCAGCTTTCAAGTAAAAAAACCACATCCAAATCGGTTCATTCGTTTAGAAGCTTCGATGCCACAGACAGTGACACATAGATTCACAGACACGTCATACTTATAACACACCCTTTTTGTTTCGGGCCTTTAAAAATATATCTTACAAAGCTTTTTAAAAAAAATATTTGAAGCAAAGCTTTTTCAAACTAGTGGGTAGGGACTTTTTGGCGGGATCGGGAAGCGGCGTTTAGCAGTTTTGTTTTTCTTGTTAAAAATTGTGTTGTGGCGGATGTTAGTGTATAATAATGGTGGATTATTAACCACTATGTGTTCGGAAACATGCACAAGTGTTGGCAAGTGAAACAAAATAGAGGAAAGTGTCTTTCGACGTTCCCTCAAGAAGTCCACGGGGAGGTTCCAGTAAATCCCCACACATTTACTGAAACATAGGGAAAGGGGGATTAACTTGCCTGCCACTTACTTTGACTTGATTTATTACTTTGACCACGAGTGCTATAGAATTTGTAAACATTTTAACACTTGACATTGGCTAAATGCTCAAGCCGTGCGAAGCCATTAACAAAAAAAACTGGTGGTTAATTTGAATTTTGCCATCTCTGGCCTACGATCGTTAGTTTTTGTTCGTTAAACGAACATCAACTGGGTAATTTAGAGTATCTATAACTCTGCTGAATGTTATACTTTTTCATTATACCTATTACCTATTTTTTTTTCACGTTCATGTTACTCAAACGGTTCCCATTTCGTAATGTGATCTTTTTTTAGTCAAATCTTATATATAAAATTCTCGTGTCACAATGTTAGTTACCATAGTTTTCCGAAACGACTTGACTGATTTATATGAAATTTTATATGCATATTCAGTAGGTCTGATAATCGGCTTCTATCTATTTATCATACCCCTAAGTGATAAGGATTGTCCACCCTAACATTCATTTTTATTTTCTACACATTTTTTTTTATTGTGGCATTGAAAAAATTCATACATCACTAAATTTTCACCCTTCTACCAGCAGCCCCTATTTTTATAGCGGTACTAAGTTCGCTGCGTCAGCTAGTTTCATATAAAAGATCCGTAACTACGCAAAGGGATATGACGATAAGTCTAGATAGAAAATAATAAGTCAGTAAATAGCAAATATTTTATTTTATTGCATAGACATTTTAAACAATATAGCCTGCGCAGGCGACGGACTTTTGTTCGCGGAGGACTTGCTCTTCCTCGGACTAAAATCCCTCGTCTGCGCAGGCTATTAAAGAGCGTTTATGGAGCTGTAGTGATGGAAATCACCAGAAATCTTAATTAACACTATCAATACCCATAGATAAGACAATTTGAGTATCAATAAAATTGCTTAACAAATTAACAATAGCTTAAACTAAAAATTGAAAAAGCGGCTTGAACATGGAAATTATTATCATACATCACGCAGCGTCAGTTTGTCATGTTATTTTAAAAGCTAAACTAATTAAACGAACATTTTAATGAATGTTTGTTTTGCCTATTTTAAATAACGCAAGATTGGAATGTCAAAATCAGAAATGTGCGCGACTTTCTTTAAGAAAAACTTGCATTTTAATAATTGTAAAGATTTCTTACAGGCCATAGACCGAGACTGCTTCAAAATAATAAGCTGGATTTCATTGAGTAAGTAGATAGGTACACTTAAACCTTTTTATGATTTACCACAAAAGTCATTGTCATAGGTAATTTTTCTTATTCCTGTCAGAATATGTTTTGGTCTTGCCTTATTCATTCGAAATGCTCAAATCGATTGCGTTATTTAATTTAGAACTGCAAGCATGATTAGTTGGTCACCGAAGAGACACCACGGCTAAGAATGGTAACGTGACACCACCGACGGCTGCCAACACTCTAGTAATTAGTTACATTAAATATACTCTAGTTACAACATAACTTGTGCCTTTTTACCAAACATAAAGTTTATGAAAAAGTGTAGGTATGCTAAAGCGCCGTTCAAACTCTATGGTGGCTGTGAAGTTAGCTGTGAGTGCTACAATGCACAATTTCATTTCAGTGAAACCCCACTTCTAGATTTAGCGGTAAACTGCAAATTTGCAGTTTTGAGCAAAACCAAAAACAAATAAACCTGCTCACGTTTTTGTATGTAAAATTGCTACTGCGCAGGCTTCCTTGCCTATGGTCGTTGCTCAAGAAGATGGCCGGGGAATGTACTTGGTTAATAATAATTTATATTATCTATTGATAGACAATACTGATCCATATGTTAGTTTAAGTACATTAACTCAGTACTGCAGTGCGACTTGCGTTAACTTCACAGCCAACATTAAGTTCTTTTCGATTCGGTTAATTCTAATCGCACTGTACCATTGCTTTAATTTGTTATGTAGGTTTACGTCAAGCGAATACAAAATTAACACAATAGGCTTTTAATTAGGTAATAAAGATTTCATGAGATCTGTGTCTTTATTATAATAAGTACAGTTTGTTTTTTACAACTGCAACATAAAATTAAATTTCCCTTTTCTTCAATTATATTGAAGAGCTTTAACTGGTTAATATTCTACATGTCGCATAGTGAGTATGGGACAGTAATATTTCTCCCATTCTCCCTAAAAAGAACCCATATCCACAGGCAAAGTAGGAAGTGGTACGAACTTAGAATATTTTACACCGAAGCCGAAGATTAAGTAAATACGGGAATTAAAATTCCACGTTTTCGATTGAAACCACAAGAGAGAAACCAAAATATTCAGCACAATTAACTATTAAAATACTTAAAGAAAAAAATCTTGATATTACACTAGCTACTATTTCAATCAGTTATGCAATGAAAGCCTTTATTCCTTTTCATAAGTTTACTAATAGTAAGTAGAAAAAAAATATTTAAAAAAATATTACAAACTTTAACACAGCTGATGAGAACTTCATATTATTCTTTGTAATTATTATTTTTTCTCTTCTCTCCCCAATACTAATCGTCTACATTAATTATAATATATGTATTTATTAGGATACAGTTTAAACCACATTTACACTTTGTCAATGCTCCAAAAGTTACAATAGCACTGAAGCCAATATTCATTCAACATCTGAAGCCAGAGTACTCGCTTGATTTTGTGCAACACTCTGAACTTTAGCAAGCGTGTAAACAGGGCTTTAACTAGGATCAACAATCGCTGTAGTCCGAGTCGGACCACACGCATAAAAATAACAGTCCAAAAATAATATTTCTTCCATTCTTTCTTTCAATTTACGATGATGGGCGATTCGACAAAACTCAACTTTACTAAGCGGTGTTGAGTAGGTATAGGACACAGCACGGCATCGGAGCTTGCACCACGCTCAGGTATCCAATTCTACCCGTGAAAACGCGATATGGACGATATTCGCACAAAAATACGTCATCTATACCCCAAGCACAAACTTTCGACAGATCCGTATTCGTATCGCCATCGTCAAATTTTCCATGGAAACTAGGTAGCGCCCCTACCGGACGTAAGAACAAACTAGTTTCTTCCACAGAAACTTTGACGGTAGTTGTTCGTGCTTGGTGTAGCTACTGAATATCCTCTAAGGCAAGCGTGTAAATGCGACTTCACATAAGGACAAAACTAGTCCAGTTCGAGTTTCCTGAACGACCCAGCGGTTGAATGTATGTTCTGTGTTATGTCGTTCTTCTCCAACGCGTATAGATCTACGCTCATATTGTCGAGGGCCAGAAGATCTTCCCTACGCTTGAGGAGATTCCGCTTCAACTCCTCGATCATGTCTCTAAGAGGAACTGTGCCGCCGTACTCCTTGGGAAGGATGGAGGGGTCCACGTGTTTGGTCAGCTCTTCGCTGGTGCGGTGGAACTGTAAACAAATATACGGCTTGATACAAGTCTCATAATATAAAAGTTGCATTTACTCTTATCGAATTGCGAATACTTTGCAAAGGTAAGGTTGGACGCTTTCTTTTGTCAGACAGATTGATTTTTGTTATTTGACATAGAAAGGTAAAAGAGGAAATTTTATAACATCATCATCATCATCATCATCAACCCATGTTCGTCCACTGCTGGACACAGGTCTCCCCTAATGCACGCCACTGCTCCCGATTTTGTGCTACTCTCATCCAGCCCACTCCAGCCAGACAGCAACCAGCTTACAGCCCACTTTGTAACATATTGGACAACAATTCGTAATACATCTCTTATCCCAAGTGCTTTAAAGAATACATACAGAAAACAATGTGTTTAGAGACGCATGTCGGAGATTCGGAGCAGCTCTCCAATATACTGACTGAGTAGAAAATTATCACCCATATAGCTTTCCACATATTTAATCCAATTAAGAAGAGTGAAACTGGTAGAATTTCAGAAAGGGCGAAATCCGAACTCATCTCCTCGCTTCTTGGCTACAGAGGTCAAGCGAGGTATTAATACTTTTGCCATTTAGAACAGTGACATGTTAAAAAGAATTGGGTCCATTACTAGCTGCTGAGAAGTCAGAAATTGTTAAAAATTTAACATTGAAAAATATATTACCATAACTCTATCTTTGAGTTTGTCACTAAGAAGCGAGACTGCAAACTCGAAGAACCTCACTCCGTAATGAGGAATGTTGACGAAGTGTGTTCGCTTGTGACGCATTGGTGTCGAATTCTGTAAATAAGCAAAATTATTGTGGAATCTCAATTTGCAAATGCCCCACGACGAACTGCAGCATTGAACACAGAAAAAGGTGAGAAGGGCATTGTGGGCGGGGCAGGCGCTCCACAGTTATGTATGCCCAATGCTTATAACTTGACCAAAATTGGGTTCTGATTGCGTAGTTTCTCACGAGGGTGGGCGCTGGTTGGTTCAATAGTATAATGTCCCGTCGTTTGATTGGCTATTATCTATTAGGTGGAAGTGTAGTGGGGCAGAGCCAGCGACATCGGTTCACGTACAAACGGTTTATAACCACCCGTCTAACCTCTTTCTGTGTTCTGTGGTTTTCATATTTGCGAGATTGTTGTCTCTCTTTTAGTGTTGGTCGAAGCTTTCATTTAACATACATTTCCATTCGCTGAAATATGTTTAAGCATTTGCTTACTTTTCTGTTGCTTTTACTATTAAGAGGTATCCTCGTTGCTCCGCCAACCCAACAAAACTGTTTTTTTTTCAATATATTAACATTTATAATTAAAGCTAAAGCAGCAAGTTAAGTTTATGGCCAGCTAAAAGTAAGTTTTGCTGTTTGGGCGAAATAAAATGCTGTTATTGAATAAGAATAAAATTTTGGAAATTCCAATCCCAATTAAGGTCAGCAATGTGCACTGATGCAGAGTGTAACTACAGACCGACTAATTATACAGAGAAGAAGTCTGTGTACTTTCGTATTTCCGATTTATTAGAGCATCTACAAGGAACTAATAAGATAACGGATTTAACCGCCAGACAGCCTAATCTTTCCGTCCTCTTTATCACTAAAATAATGCAATTTCACAATTACTTTTTACTAGTGGGTGCCAGCGACCTCGTCTGCGTGGAAAATTAAAAAAAAAACAACTATTTTTTTAGGATAAAATCTATCCTATGCCCTTTCTCGGGACTCAGACCTATACCTCAATACCAAATTTCATTTAAATGGGTTCAGCATTATAAGCATGAAAAGGTAACAGACAAACAACAGACAGACACACTTTCGCATTTATAATATTAGTATGGATTATGGTAGTTTCATAAAATACATAATGTTAAGTTCACTGTACTTACAATTAAATACAATACGGTCTACAACTAGGACGGACACATTCTTTTTACTGCTTTAAATGTGATTTCCACCTCAATTGTGCACTCTACCACTAATTTTCTCCACAACACCCTATGGTTGACTGGTAGAGAATGCCCGTGGGCAATGCCGTAGCATTAAGTCCGCAATTGTACAATTGTGCATGAAGAATTAAATAAATCAATAAATAGGGAAGGGCCTATGCCTACAGTTCCATTCCTCAGGAGAGCCAGCAAAGGCTGATTTATTCACCAGCATTACACCATAATCATTAATTCGCGATGTATTTCCATTTATAGGGACTTGATATTTGCTGTAGCCTGTAGCCGAAGATGGTCTAGCTGTAGTTCCACTATCATGGAATGTACTCGCGCCATTACAGTTCAGTGGCATCATCCTTCTTCATTTATTTTACTGTGCAGGATGCAGTTGAGCATGACGCGCACGTCAGTGAGCGACCACTGGCTAACGTGCGACATTCAGCCTCGCCGTTGACATCATCCTTATTGTTGCGACAGCCACTCGCACTCACTTCACAGCACTGTACCTGTATGCAGTTGAGCATGACGCGCACGTCGGTGAGCGACCACAGGCTGACGTGCGGCATCTGCATGCCGGCCTCATCGTTGACTTCATCCTTACTGCCGCAACTCGCGCTAACTTTTGGGCACTGTACATGTATGCAGTTGAGCTTGACGCGCACGTCGGCGAGCGACCACAAGCTGACGTGCGGCATCTGCATGCCGGCCTCGTCGTTGACTACATCCTTACTGCCGCAACTCGCGCTAACTTTACGGCACTGTACCTGTATGCAGTTGAGTATGACGCGCACGTCGGTGAGCGACCATAGGCTGACGTGTGGCATCTGCATGCCGGCCTCGTCGTTGACTTCATCCTTATTGCTGCAACTCGCGCTAACTTTACGGCACTATACCTGTATGCAGTTGAGCATGACGCGCACGTCGGTGAACGACCACAGGCTGACGTGCGGCATCTGCATGCCGGCCTCGTCGTTGACTTCATCCTTATTGCTGCAACTCGCGCTAACTTTACGGCACTATACCTGTATGCAGTTGAGCATGACGCGCACGTCGGTGAGCGACCACAGGCTGACGTGCGGCATCTGCATGCCGGCCTCGTCGTTGACTTCATCCTTATTGCTGCAACTCGCGCTAACTTTACGGCACTATACCTGTATGCAGTTGAGCATGACGCGCACGTCGGTGAGCGACCACAGGCTGACGTGCGGCATCTGCATGCCGGCCTCGTCGTTGACTTCATCCTTATTGCTGCAACTCGCGCTAACTTTACGGCACTATACCTGTATGCAGTTGAGCATGACGCGCACGTCGGTGAGCGACCACAGGCTGACGTGCGGCATCTGCATGCCGGCTTCGTCGTTGACTTCATCCTTATTGCTGCAACTCGCGCTAACTTTACGGCACTATACCTGTATGCAGTTGAGCATGACGCGCACGTCGGTGAGCGACCACAGGCTGACGTGCGGCATCTGCATGCCGGCCTCGTCGTTGACTTCATCCTTATTGCTGCAACTCGCGCTAACTTTACGGCACTATACCTGTATGCAGTTGAGCATGACGCGCACGTCGGTGAGCGACCACAGGCTGACGTGCGGCATCTGCATGCCGGCCTCGTCGTTGACTTCATCCTTATTGCTGCAACTCGCGCTAACTTTACGGCACTATACCTGTATGCAGTTGAGCATGACGCGCACGTCGGTGAGCGACCACAGGCTGACGTGCGGCATCTGCATGCCGGCCTCGTCGTTGACGTGCGTGTAGCCCAGCAGCTGTGACCGCGGCTCGTCTAGCAGCAGCTCCACTATCATGGAGTGGACGCGCGCCATCACGCAGCTGTCGAACTGGTGGGGGTCGAAGCGACCTGGTGATACACATATGAATCAATAGATAAAAGCCCCTGGTGTTTACCATTGGCTTGTACCATCAATGGGACTGTGATAGACAGACGGCCGTACTCGAACACGCCGATGAACTTCTGAATTTGATTAAATAAGATATCACATGATTGCTATTCAATTTATTTTACGTGTCTCAGTACGGTTGATAAACATGGAGAGTGAGTGGACTAGTGACACACTCGCTTTTGGATAACTTTCTTAATACAGAGAAGTAACATCCATTACGATTTATTGACCACCCGATTGCTTCGTTTCTCTCACACATTTGAGCAATGTTTTGTTAGGCTCCTCAAAGCTCGTCTATATTGGCCACTTGCACTAGTCTTCTTCAAACTTGCCCAACGTTTAGCTAGACTTGTATCAGTTTGCTTACGCTCGCGTTGGGTTAAGCTCGGCCAATATGTACTGGGCGGCTTTAATTGCGATTGAATATTAGCCCCTATTCAACTACCTTTGAGCCAAAAGAACCAATGTTTCTAAAACTTTTTATATCGAGAGTAATGATGGCCAGTGTAATCAGACTGGCTACAAAATTGTACATTTCAACGTAAATTATTTGCTTTATCACAACTCTTCAATTTAGTAGTTATTCTAATGCGTTCAAAGTTTGGTAATAGGTATAGTTTTAGATTTTTTAATTAAATTATTATGTGTATAGGTTTCGACCTATTGAGCAAGGGCGGATCCAGCTTTGGCGCCAGGGGGGTCATATAGCCAGCTTTGGCGCCGGGGGGGGGGGGGGGGGGGTCATATAGTCGTGGTATATTAAATATTGAAAGTACTTAAATAAAATCCCCCTGGGTTTGGTCCATCTGTACCCAGCCCAGGGGGGGGTCATGACCCCCATGACCCCCCCCCCCTGGATCCGCCCTTGCTATTGAGAAACGTTTTTAATGTTTGATTACCTTTTGGCTCAAATTAACTTGAATAGAGAATAAATTGATGTCGATTCTGACATGATTCTCTAAACCTAAATTTGAATTTGATAACAGTGTACATATTCTTGTCATTCTATATACAGAATGAAAAGGATAGGAAGATATTAAATTTAGTTTTAAGTTTAGAGAATAATGCCTGGATCGACATCAGTATTTGACCATAAAATTACGAACCCATGCATGACAAGACGACCCTGCGTCCCTCAGCGTCCCTCTTCGGTAGCGGCACCAGGTATCCTGCGTCGATGACCGCCGCTATCTTCGGGTCCAGAGGATCTAGTTTCTGGAACCAGTGTGGATACATCTGGCGGATGGTCAGGTAGCGCTCCAGCATCGAGCACGCTTGCGGGATGGAGTATTTCTTTGTGCGGAGGAAGCGTAGCAAGAAGGGAGCGTCTGTGGACAAATATATCATCAGATAACTAATAGTATAACTTTTGGTTTCCAGACAACACCATAAGATCCTGGTCAGAACAAAAAAAAAAATTTTCCAACTGTTTTTTTAATATAACCACAAAAAAAGACAGCATAAAAAATCCGCTATCCCCTTCCTTGAATTTCGCTATGTCTGTCAGGGTATCTCTTTAAAGTAGTGTACTGTATTTAAAAGTAAAAGTTAATTCAGTTAACAAATACTGTCTGGCCACACGCCCCATATAGCGTCTCTCTGTGAAACTATTTCCTTTCAACAGCACGCACCTGATTGCGTATTCCAGAGACTTACTCACCAAGGCTTGGCTTGTGGAATAACAAGTGAGCTTAACTATGATGCTATGATTTGTGTAAAAAGGGAATTTCCATGTGAGACAGAGGTATGCAGTCCATCCATCGAATATACATAACTTGAGTACTCTCAATTTGAAATAACAGGAATTGTTTTATTATTTGATTTACATAATCGGACGGCGAGACATAGAAATGGTCTCCATCCGTATGTATTCGACATTACTGCACCTCTCCTTTCGTATACCATTTGTAGATAATTCCATAAAGATTTGCGAGAATGCTTACTCTTTTATCGATGGATGACGATTTTTTTAGAGCACCTGTACCAGATACAAACACTCTTATCTTACCCTCTCTCATAGCTGATTTCTCTCTGTTTGTTCTCCATTTTTGAAGAAATCCTTATTCAACTACACATCTTGGTTAGTATAAATAATAATAAAGTAATGTAAGACTTACCGGTCCTGCACTTTTTTATAGCCGGATGCTTTTCTATGAAGTGCCTCATCTGCGACAGCGCCTGTTCTCGCAGCGCTGGCTCCTCTCTCAGCTCAACTCTCGCCCTCTCCCTCAGCTCAGGCGGCAGGTCTCCCGTCTCCCTCTCTTTGTTCTCCAACTTCTGAAGGCGTTCCTCGTCCGATAGTCTCGGCTCGGCTAGGTCCAGCTTGGGCTCGTGTTCCCTTCGGCATTCCTCGGGCTGGAGTACGGAAGTCGCCATCACGGATTATTCTGTAAAAAATGGAAATTATTATTATTTTTTATAGAGCATCAGGAATAGTCATAGTATTATGTTGATTTCATTATAACGTTTATTATGTTTATATCCTCTGCTGTTATAAAAGATATTTAAAACACTTTCTATGTCATTCTGTTGCTATCGCAAATAAAGTGTTATTATTAACTTAAGTCAAACTTAAAAGATAATTGACTTCTCTGAATGCGGCGGTTAGATGTATCACTTCGCTTTAAATGACTGTCTAACTAAGAAAACTTAACAGCTGTTATAATTAAACCAAGATAGCTGTTTCATTACGTTTGCTCGCCAATATTAAACATCAATTGCAACCAAATTCCAACTGCAGATCATTCTTCAAAGATCCATTGGCCTTTTTTATAAAAATGGTTCTAATAAGAAAATATATTCGCAGTAGATACATCATGTATCGACTCAATGGATATACTAGGAATAATCGAAATCTGCAGCCTGTCTGCTGCAATTGGAGCGCAAGAGTCTACGCGACAATAAACTTTAGAAAGAGATATGTATATAAAATTGAGTAAATTTAATTTAAAAAAAAAAACAAAATATAACACGCAAACTTTCAAATAATTATAAAGGAAATTAACATTGACATATTCGGATGATCTTTTTTGTGAAACCTGTGAAAAAATGTTACTGAAAAAAGGAAATAATATTTGCACACTTCTCAAATCATTATGGTTTATTTAGGTTTTATTTTAAGATGCCTCGACATTTGGTCCGGAACAGTTTGCGCCAGTTTCGCACCGAATTGCTACAATTGGAAAGGCACGGGTGACGGTGAAAGTTAGCATTTCGCCTACGGGCTTCCTTTGAAGGTCAACGATGAATATAATGGACAATACCAAGTAAATTAAAAGAGTATATCACACTTAACTTCAAAAATTTTTTAAGAAGGAAATTCTAAGAATATTGTTATCACAAAGCTGTACAATAAGTCACAATAATGTAATTGTATACTGAACCGATACTGCAGAAGCGGTCACACAGTAATATCAGAATGAAAAATTGTAAATCTCATTATAAGTAAACTGTATGTTTTTATGAGAAATAAACTCTTTGCACACAAGCGTAGAGGTTCTTGGAATTAAGATTATTGTGTCTGGAGACCGTGCCGTAGCGAAATTCAGCAGGTACATCTTTAAATAATGACTTGGGCAAGGTTTGAGGCATATCACACTGTTTACAGTGTTACTGAGGCTCTAAAGAGCCTCTTTGATTGTGAAGCATTCCATCGCAGTTGGTAAGTCTGCTAGTACTGGTTGGTCATACCACTACTGTACTTACAGTCACCAAAAGAAAGGCACAAAATCTATTTTGTTGTCTTGGCTTGACCTTTGTTTGACTGATTCTTTGATCAAGGAGTCGCCCGCCCTTTTATTCTTGTTAACAAATCACAATCCATTACATAGAAATTAGTAATAGAGTACCCCTCTTTACGTACTAGCTAAAGCCGTAACATTGTGTACACAGTAGGCAACCAATTAGTAAAAAGGTCTTATTGTTTATCATTGGTCAAATAGACAAAAGGTGGGACGACCAACTTTTAACCAATACAAGTAAAATAGTTTTCAAATTGATCAAGCGATGACTTTATTAATGGTACAGTTAAAAATTACCGAAGTTTCATTTCAATTTGTTAATCATCATGTCCATCTTTGAGACAGAGTACCGAGCATAGGTATGGACGATCTAAGGTACTGCCTGGAAGATTGCCCGTATGGGGAAGCAGCTTCCACATTACGGAAGACTATAGTAAAATAACACTATCTTTTTTGGTAATATGTTTTCAATGATGAGTAAAGATTCTGGGCTCTACGGGATAGGCAATTGGGTGTTTTCTGGTAATTGTACAGCCATTTGGTAGTTTTACCTGGAAAGTTTTCCGGGAGTTTTAAAAATTGGTAATTAAATAGATTTTTTGCCACCTCGTATTTTTGCCGCTCGCGCCGCCATATTGGAAAGATGGCGCCTAAAAGCACTTTTTTGACAATATCTCCTTTCCGACTCATGTTGCGATAAAAATAGTTATATAGAAAATAAAACTAGAGACAATTCCCTACAATTTACGTATCTACCTCTTTTTCATAAAGTCGATAGTTTTGGCGTACGAGCGCCGCAAAGTGTACTCCAACGCGCATTTTGGCCAAAAAAAACATTTCCACACCACCTTTTACCAATTTATAAAATTACCAATTTTCAAAACTTCCGGAAAACTTTTCAGGTAACCAATATATAATATATTTCTCACCAAATACTATAAGGTGGAGTTGACTAGAACAGCAAATGTGGGCACAAGGAAATTGCTAAACTTTTTTGGTCGTATTGTAAGCTCCCTCGAACTTCATTCACACACAACATTAGGATGGATGGGGTACTAAATTTGTTAGGCCTAATAAAAAAAAACATAAATTAAGTGTAATTTTTTATTCAAATATAAAAAGTGCTTTAATGCATAATTGATAGAAATTTATATCAAATAATTAATTTGAAGCACGTTATAAAGTACGCTGGTGTTTACAATTATACGCTGATAGCACCTTTATCACTAATGAATGATGACCTCGATTTTACTGTATAAACCAACATATACACGTTTCATTGTCAGTCAGTGGAAGTCAAGAGCGCAATTATAGATATTATATAATCGATTGAGGGAACCACGTTAGCTGGTAAATATTTGAAATACCTCGGTTTTTGTTTGAGGAACAACATAACGTAGGTAATAAATGAAGTTTTTGGGCTGGTCATATCATGCATCACTTAATTTTTTTACTATAATGACAATGATGTCGATTCTGATATGATTCTCTAAGCCTAAACTTAAATTTGACAACGGTGTATCTTTGTCATTCTCTATACAGAATGAAACGGAGAGACTTATGTTAAATTTAGTTTTAACTTTAGAGAATCATGCCAGAATCGACATCAGTGTTCTTATAAGAGCTGAAAAAGCCAAAAAAGCAAAGTTCAAATCAAACTTTCAATAGGAAAATCTCGCAATTACTTCTGGAGCGTGAGGGGTAGATCAGGGAGTTCGTTTACCTGGTAGGTACGGGAGCAGGTCGGCGGCAAGCTAACCACGCAGACCACAGCCCCTATGATTAGTCAGGTGACAATGACGTTGTGAACGGAGAAGCCCAGGATCGATTTAAGCGGGTGTTGACTGAGTTGCTTTTAGGATGTAGGTTAGTTTGACGTCTGCCTCGCTTACGTGAGCGTACGTCAAAGTATACCTACACCGCGAGCAATCCTTGGAACGCTCTAGCTGGCTGAATGCACCACGCAATTACCTGCGTCGGGGCACCGCGGCGTTGGTCATTGTTTGTGGATATAATATTTTTTTCTCCCCATCATCGAAATAAAAGGGTAGGCAACTGCGCGAGTGATATAAGCGTCTAGACTATGATGCCGCTTACAATTAGGCGGGCCATATGGTTGTTGGCCACCCTCTAAAATAAAAAAGTGGCTTAAGAGCCCTTTTACAAAATTGCGCTGCTGCCGTACTGATCGGCGCGTAGGTAGATTTGTCTAGTATATATTGCATTTTACGGGTGATGTTTCGAGTCTTATAAAAATATTATTAATGAACTAATTATAAAAAATATATACATATTTCTGTAGTTCAAAGGTGGTAGTTTAGTATTATGAATGTTTTTGATAGTAATTCTATTTAATTGAATATCAAACTACCAGTTTTTTTTGGGAAAGCTTCCGGAGGTTAGATGTTTTTTTTTGATAATTAATGAGATGGAAAATCAAAATTTAAATACATTATGTTACAACAAAAGCACATTTCTGATGTCTTAGTAATTCATTTGATCTAATTTAATGAACATTATTTAGAGATTCAGGCGTTTAAAGTTGTGCATATTATCGTTTTTTCCGTAAACTACCTGCGGTAGAACGATCGGTACAAAAAAAGGAAAATAGTATTTGTGAATATTCTACTTTAACTTACAATAAGAAGAATAAATCTACTGTCTACTTCTATTGGAAATAGTCAAAATCTTTTCTAAGGGGGTAAACGAGGCGCTCAAAAATTAGGATGTTTTCCAAAACATGTGAAAGGTCTCTTAACTAAGCATTAACTGAATAAGACGTTAATGAGCATGGTTGTAAAAGAAGTATCCCTATCTTCACACATAGGTAAAGAAAATTAATCTATATGCAAAATCTAAAACGTGTTGAGGTTATAAAAATAACACCTTTTCGTAACGCGTTGATGTTTTATCTATAGCGTAACAAGTCAACTCATGCAAACAGCAAAAAGCATAACCACCATGCCAACACGTATAGTGTAATAATAATACCTGTTCATTCAGTTTTAATAATGACTTTATAATGGTTTCGTGTAATTCAAAATAACTGTTACGAAATGTAGGTCAAATCGTCACGTACACGCATATGATTGGGTTATGATTATCAGCTCAATGCACTGAAGTATTACGTAGTTTTTTGGCTGGTACTATTAAATTAAGTTGGAAGTATTAAATTACGTTGCTTTTCGGGTTCCGTGCTTCAAAAGAAAAAAAAACGGAACCGTTAAAGGATCACTTTGTTGACTCGAGAACTTTTACTGATCTAAACGCAACCAAAGATTTTTCAGCAGGATATGTCTTAAGGCGCAAAACACTTGGTCGTTAGCTCGTATATGATTGCCTATGGAATTCGGACTAACTACTGACTAACTAAACTGTTAATGAAAGGTGTCGTATACGCCCGTATTAAAACAGCTTTCATTTTGGTTACCCGATGCCGTTTTTCTTTCAAGCATTAGTACCAGATATTTTTTCTCCAGATAATCCCCAAAAATGTTTTCCCCAAATATGGGTGGAGTTCTCCCAATCTGGCATCACTGAGGTACGTTCAAACCTGGACGGGGGCGTAGGGTAGTTTGTTTTTTTATTTTTTTTTTTTATAGCCAGGTAGGTAAATGTCTCTACACCCGATTTTAAGTGGTGATAAAGTCCAAACGCCGAGATAGCTGGTACAGCAGTTATAAACTGCTACACCAACCATCCTCACCTTGCCGGCCTGTAAAAAATCTTCTTCACGCCTCTCTTAAAGGACCCCAGATTGTAGGAAGGAGGGTATACGTGCGCGGGCAAAGAATTCCACTTACAAATAGTACGACAAAGAAATGAGTCACCAAATTTTCCGTGATCCTGTAACCGAACCTGAGTTAAACGATGTAATTATTCCATCGGGTGGCCGAAATCGAGTAATGTCTTTCGTGCGCCCCAATACGGGCTTTTGAACAAGTGCAATTGTGCTTTTCAGTCCTTACTTACTCACACGTTTAATGTAACAAGTGTTTATCTATTCATACCTTTGATCTTGAACTACAGAATTCATTATGACTCTGCGCATATAAATTGAAGTTTAGTGAGTGACGCAGCCTGACCGGTGCCACTATTTGGTATTCCATTAATGGCACACAAATAAACCCATTTGCAGTCCACCGACGTGTCATGGCATGGCTATTGTTAAACGTCATTGTTTTACAATATTCCAACGATGTAATTTGGACCGTAAAGAAATGAAAGTAAGTTGGAAAATTGATTAATGGAGATGTTTAATGCATAGTTTCTTGTAGCTTTTGTGTGCGTGATTTTGGTCGTGACAGTGATAAGAGGTTCCTGTTCAATGGGTTCTTTTTTATTATGAACTCTGGTAAGTACTTATTAAGTATCTATCTTTCATAGGTTAAAAATGACAATGGAAATTATACTCGTTTAAAAAGCACATAAAAATACATATTATTATGTACTTCAAAGAAGTACTATTGATATTTTTCAAGAATAAATACCAACTTTGAAAAATAAAATATTTAGAATACTGAGAAAGTAGATACTTAACTGTTTAATATTTTTAATAATAAAATTAGTTTGTCAATAATGGGTCTGGTACGTAAGTGGTTCTCTGAACTTACGATCATATTTGGTAGTGTTCTCCCCTTTTAAATAATTTTAAAGCATGATAGACTGTTGTGGTTTTGGATTCAGAGGATTATTCTGTGATTGTGCAAATTTAAGGAAATAAGATATAATATTCTTTCTGTGTGATTTTGTGTTTCTTTTTTAGATTTGTCTATTTAAAATAAGAGATTTATTTCGCCCCATACAAAAGTATTTAGGACAAAAAACATTTGACTGCCAAGATCCCTCTGTCTCTATACCAAAACTTATCAACATCTGATAACTAGTGAAGATGTTTACTTTAGCATTTACATTAAATAGTTAGCATAGATTTCCTTAAAATTTTAAACACTGTCACAATGCTTAATGCGCCGAAGAACGAGAGTGGTAAGGTCACAATATCAAACTCTACCTTCATCCGTATGAGAGAAAGAATAACCGTTTTTTGATTTGACACATTCCCTACGTATTTGACGTGACATTAACTATAGTCAAATTTAACTTCAAGGATGAATCAACGGGACCTTAAACTACAATAAAAACACAGTAGTCAAGTCACATAACACTCGATTCCCTCCAAATACATCACCTTTCCATTACACCCGAAACAAAACACGATCGGTCATCACATCCCAGTTGACCCGTTCCACTTACGTTCATGTCTCAGGGTGCGCCCGTGACGCGCGTCGCCCAGTGGACGGCCACCGAGCCGAACTGCGGCACCGAACTCATCGGAAGGGGGCATGGCTCACACCGGGCCGAAGCGATGCAGCCGGTCAGTGCTCCCGGAGCCACACCGTTATCCCCGAAATATTGCGACACCACGCATCGCGTCGCGCCCTCCAAAACCCATTGGGCAGGCGATACTGGTGCGTTTACCTCTCTTTGGGGTACAGTCGGCGACGGACAACAATTTTCTTATACTAATATAAGTTATTTACGGGATTGTTACCATGTACCTTGTTTTTAGCGAGTTTCCGATATATCTGGAATCCTGTGGTTCGTATGTGTAAAACCGGAAATAATCAATAAAGTGTCATGTCGCGATCCGATACTGTAAGTGTTGTGTGTCGAGAACAGTGTCGAGTGAATAGTGAGAATGTGAACAGTGGTACGGGTATCGAACGCAATAAAAGAATTCGTCGGAGGGTAGACCGATATGTCTGCCAATAACAGCCTACCCGCAATTACTTTAGTTACTCCGTGATCATAGCGCTTGCAACAGTGCCGAAATATCGGAAACTCGCTAAAAACAAGGTACATGGTAACAATCCCGTGAATAACTTATATTACTATAATGTTAGTGACCATGAAAGTTTAAAACAATAAACAATTGACTTGATTGAAAATGTCACCAGCAATGTAAGTTTCCTGATCAACTGGCGTGGTTCTATGAAACAACTAATAAGAAAAGTCTCTGGAATCGAAGTCGGGCCGCCCGCCCTAGTACGAATAAATTATATTATACGCAAAAAAGTTGGCATGGACCAATAGCCCATGGCCTATAGGAGGTATTGGAACTATCATGTCATAGCCATTGCTATTGTTTCCTTTCAACGCTGTTAAACTTAATACTGATTATCGAGTTATTGATTAAAACGAAAATGGATTTATGCCACACATAGTAGTTTCCATAGAAAAACTCTCAACGCAAATGTGCTATTCTAGGTAACGTTAGGGTCGCCAAATGGCCGGGAAATCCGGGATTGTCAGGGAATTTTGTGTCTTGTCCCGTGTCCTTAAATAGACCTTATTTTCCCGGATTCCGATAATGTGCTATTTTCGTAACAAAATAATGCCTGCTTGATATTTTAATTCTGGGGCGTGGGTGATGGGGGATTTGATTTGATGCTTTATTTTTTCAGGGTGGGTGCAAATGTCCCGGAATAGATAAGCCAGCATCTGGCAACCCTAGGTGATGTTCAAATAGTTTCAAACAATCAGTTATTCAGTTCCTTTTACTTCACTTTGTTTTATTACTTAAGTCAACTTTGTGTCTATGAGTTTGCTAATTAAAGACGTGTCCAATCCATCTTTTCGGAATTTAATCTCTTCTGGGAATTAGGCGTGAAGTTTTTATGTGTGACTGATCAAAAGGCAAATTAAATAATTAAAGTTAATGCCTAAACTTTATTTCACGAAAACTAAGCTATATACCTATATATGCATTAGAATGGCGTGTTTGAAAATACTGCAATTACTAAGTACTTTACGTTGTAAATTTTGGTGTTGAGGTCAAATTACATAACGCAACATCTATTGTTGTTTAATAGCATGTAATATACAATGATAATGTATATTTGTGTGACATAACAAATAAAGCCCAGTTACATTATGTCCAAACCCGGGTTTAGGTTGCGTCACTAAAATTGCTACAGCGCGAACTATGATACTATGAAGTAATATTACGTAGAATAAATATTAAATAAAAACTGTAGAAATGTTCTAGACCAGTTTTTGTACGTTGTCACACAATTTCTGTCTTCAAGAAACTTAAATAAGGTCACAGTTTTTGTGAA